TTTAACATTGAAACAGAGATTGAAGCTCTAACCTGTTTGATACATTCCATCTCTGGTGGACCTTCTGTTGAGACTGACTTCTTCACCACTTTAAGCCTGTATGGGAGACATTTTCATTTATCCTAAGTAAAAGATAAAGATACATTTGGACAGTAAGAGCAGCCATAAAGTAATGGCACATGGACCGGCGTCCGATTTTCTTAGTTTCCGTTCCATGCATCATTTAACTGTTTCAATGTTTTGAATGGATGAAAACAAGGGAAAAAGCATGTGACAGCAGACAGGAGGCATAGCTCGGTGGCAGTAGTGAGGCCTAGCAGCTCTGTTCCAGCCTTCATCAGCTGCCTCTAAACCAGTGTTTCCCAACCCCGGTCCTAAAGGCTCACTGCCCTGCATGTTTTCCAGGTTCCCCTGCTCCAGCACACCTGGTTCTAATGAATGGGACTTCAGCAGCTTTCTGCATAGCTGAAAAGTCGTTCCATTCATTAGAAGCAGGTGTTCTGGAGCAGGGGAACTTGGAAAACATGCAGGGCAGTGAGCCTTTAGGACCGGGGTTGGGAAACCCTGCTCTAATCTGAGGAGGATTCCCCTGGGCTCAGCGGGAGCAGGGCGGCAGAGGACGCCCAGGCTGACCACGGGGGGAGTGAGAACCAACAGCACTAGGAGCTGACATGAGACTCAGTGATGGATAGGAGCCCAGAGCTTTTCTCCGGGGCTGCAGCTGGGCAGAGGAGTTCTGAGAGAAAGGTGAGTGTAGCTGGAGACGATAAATGTGGTAGGTTGGAGGTAAAAAGGCTCCAGTTTTGTCCTTGTGGCTGGAAAGAAGCAACATCAGTTAGAGGCCATGGGGTTCAGGGCAGAAAGAGGGTTGAAAGAGTACAACTAGTTATGTTTAGACGGTAAAGAAAAATGGAGAAACTGGTTAAGGAAAGAAGACAGCTAAGAAAGCAGTGGAGAAAAGCTACAGAAGAAGAGAGGGAGGGAATGAAAGTTTTGCAGGAAGAGCTGAGAGGCAGGCTAGTAGTACTTAGAAGGGCAGAATATCTTTGGAAAAAGAGAAAGAAGAAATATGTAAGAACAGCTTTTTGCAGGGACCTGTTTAAGTTTGTTAAAGGGTAGTTTATCCAGGAAAAGGGAACACAGCTTAAAGAAGAGAAGCCAGAGGAGGAAGAATATTGAAGAAACCCAGACTAAGATCTGGAAAAGTATAGTCGTAAGCCTTCCACCTGGCATGCCACCATCAGGAGAGCTGTCAGACATGCAAAGGCTTCGTCGGCCCCGGGGCCAGAAGGAGTCCCCTACCAGCTTCTAAAATGCTCAAGTTTTTGTGGAGGCAACTAAGAATAGTTTGGGAGAAACAGTTTATTCTAAGAGCCTGGTGTAGGGCAGGAGGCACCCTTGTTCGACCAAGAGAAATGATAACTCTCCTAGATGTAGTGGGAAAGATTTTCTTTAGTGCAGTTGCACAGAGATTAGCTAGTTTTTAATAGATGCCACTGCTGAGGGCAGCAGGACCAGGCTTCACAGGGGGCTTAGAAATAGGCTTACAATTTGATTATCTGCATTTATAATGGCAATGGAGAAAATAATTACAGCTTCAAAGTGAGTTTTGGGTGGAGAAAAAGAGGTCAGGACAGCATGCGCCTTACACCGTTTAGGGCTGACATGCTATGATGTGGGTGACTGCTACAGTGCCAGGCATGAGGGAATACCTGAGGGACTTAAAAATCTAAAACAAATAAAAATAAAAACCAAACCTAGTCCGTCCAGTAGCATCTAAAAAGGTAGGGGGATATATAGTAATAGAATGTTTGTAATAGATGAAAAAACCATTCCAATCATTAGAAAAGGCATTAAAGAGTTTAGGTAGGTGCTAGCAGGCAGACCAAACAACAGAGAGCAGATTCAGAAAGATGCTGCTGAGGGACTGTTAAGGGTACAAAGGCAGCGGCTGAGGCTGAGCAGGACAGTGGAGGAGCTGGGGAGGTGTGGAGAAGAAAAGGCTTGGTTTGAAAGAAATGTGGAGCATGGAGGAAAGTAGGAAACATAATGTAGAAGCTGAAGCTCTGGGCAAATGCAGACCTGCTGTAAGTTAGACTGTCACAAGGTACACAAGGTACACATGGAGATATAATAACTTTATAAATATAGCTCTGAACAATACTCATCAAGCTTTTGGGTACCTGGATGCAGGAGCTGTGCTGGAAGACAGGCTGGAGCTAGGACTTGGGTTTGAGTCCCTCTGTGAGCTGGATAAGGGATTGGGCCTGGAAACAGAACATGCAGATGCTTTAAAGCAGCTGTTGGTTGTTTTCTTGTAAAACCATCTGAGGATATTATCATTATTTCAGCATCAAAATAACTTTTATACTGTATTTTCAGTATTAGTCTAGCTTCATGGTTGAGTGTCTTACCTTGGCACAGTTGCAGATGTTTCCTTGGGATGGTTGTTTTCTGTTGAAATATTTGTATTAATGTTCTGTATGACATCTTTCTACCAAGCTGGACTCAGATGTGCTGAAAGAAAATGTATCTGGTATTTCCCACTCCTCAGTGTTTACCTACCTCCATGTCCTGATACTTTTGAATTTGCTGAGTCAGATTCCTACAGCCATGCACAGATAAAGAGTGTTACTATGCAGCTTTATTTAATCTTCAATTACCACACAGTAATGAAAGAGAGCAGAATAATCTTGAAATAAATTTGACAAAACTTGCATTTCCTGGTTCCTCTTTTTTTTCTGCAGGCTTATCAGCGGTTTTCCTCCTGTTTTAGTCATATCACAGAAAGTACATTACAAACAGAGCGAGCAGCAGATAATCAACAGGCTTCTGGTAATCTTCAGTAAAAACTCGCCTTCTCGCTAGGATGGCACTCATTTCTCCCATCAGGCCGCCTCCACCTCCTCCACCTCCTCCACCCGATGGCGGGGCTGGTTTGGGGGCTGCCGCGGCCGCTCCCCCCTCCTCCTTCATACACAGAAGCACTCCCTTATTCCCTCCCCCAATGTGAGCTTTACTGTGAGAGCGCTCTGACCAGCGCTGGCTGAGGGTTCAATCCCCTCTGCTTAAAGAACTCAGTGGAGTTTTTAGTTTAGGAAGCTCACCTTCTGGGTTTTACGCAGTTTGGCGCCTGCGAGAGCAGAAGCAAGGTCGCTTTTGCCCCCCCCTCCCCCCCCAGCAGAGGGAGCTGAGAGCCCGTCAGCAGAAGGCAGAGGAGGAGGTGCAGGAGGACCCCCCCCAGAGGAAGGCTGGGGTGGGCCCGGGGGTGGGGGCGGAGGTGGCGGGGGAGCAGGGGGGCCCGGGGGGGCAGGGGGAGCGGGGGGGCCCGGGGGGGCAGGGGGAGCATTTGGTGCAACAGGGCATGCAGGAGGGTCCGGCCTCTGTTCCTCCAGTCTGAGGAAAGGCAAACACAAGGATCACATGTCCTGTAATGGGTTCTGGACTTTTGGACTTTTCATCAGCCAGAACTGGGACAGCTTCTGGAAAGTACTGTAGTCTGGCCCAAAATGTGGATATTAAAGGAGGTATAACAAACCAAACCCAGTCCACAAAACCAGAACTGAACCATTAGCAACCAGACAAAAGTGAACGATGTCCTGGCCTCCTCCCAACCCAAAGAAGAACACGCAGTAGTCTTGGAAACCTTCAGAAAAACATTCTACCTTTTTTGCTGATCCAGCTTTGGTACGGATGGAGCTTCTGTGGAGATCAATATCGTGTATGAATGTCTAAACGTGTGGAATGCAGTACATACCTATTTTTACACATCCGTTCTTGTTGCGTAACTGTGATTACCTGTGACAGGTGCTGCGTTGAGAGCTTCTAGTGCGTGTGTCATGGAGTTGGCAAAAACAGAAGCTTCCTCTTTACTCCCAAAGTTCAACCCCCACACCTGTTTGGGATCCCTCCACTGATGGAAATTCGGTGTGGCTTGGTTATATTTCATCCCTTTAACAATGGGGCAGTTGAGTACAACCTGTCCCAGGCCAGAAGCACAGGAGAAGAAATGATAGTTTGTCATCAACTGAACACATTTCGGTTCACCATTCAGCAGCGGAGGGGAGCTGGTTCCATCCCGTGCTCTTGTGCAAGTTTCTATCTTTAAACATGCTACATGCTAACATTATAAGTTGCATGTACTATAAGACAATGTATGTGATAGTGTCTTTCTCCCACTCACACTGCATACTATAGCATAAGTAGAATGGATTAGGTGGTAAGCCATCTGAAAGGCAAAACAGGAACTCATGGACGACTGAAGGCACAGAGTTCAGATTTGTGTTGATTGTGTCCTACCTGCTGATCAGCCTGCAGTTTGCGACCCACCACTCTGAAGGTGTTGGCTGCTGAGCTGTGATAGATCTGGACACGGCTGACGCAGGCCACATCGGACCCTGCTGGCACCCAGCGCTTGTTGTGGTCATCGTACATCATGACCGACGCTTTCACCAGACAGATACTGCTCTCCCTGGAAGAGCAAAACCACGAGGGGATACCAACACAAGAAGTGAGGGAGTAATAACCACTGGCCCGGAGGAAACGGGGGCCAAAGGCGTAGATTTAAGAGGTAACATTTTCATTCATTCATACTCATTTAAATTTGGTTGCTTTGGTACTTGATTGACATTGGCAGTTACCTAAGATGATCTGAATCACCTCACAAAAAAAGACAGAAACATAATCTACCACATTTTTACATTTTATACTTGAAATTTGACCAAAAAAAGACTAAGTTGAAACTGCGGTGTATAAGCGGTTGCTCCCCCTTTGGGTGTGTTTCACTGCACTTAGATTTGTAACCAGGGATCATATAAGAGTATGTACAGTATGTAGCGAATCCTTTGAGTTTTGCACAGTGATTGTATTTCAGGATATAGGTAGAGTAACAAAACTCTATACTCTATACTAGAAAAATGTCTACTGAGGTTACCACAGACACTACTCAGCTCTGCTCCTGTCCATGGAATACCCTATATAAATGTTACAATATTGTGGTGTCAAAAAAAGGATATTCTGTGGATCTTTAATCTAGTTACCCCAAAGTATGCGATTTGTAATTCTAACCCTGATGAGGTGATGACAGTGCTTGGTCAATCAGACATGGGTTTCACTGGAGCTAAATCTGAGCTAAATATTACTCCATCACCGGTGATGTGACGAAAGTATTTCAGAATGTATGTGTGTCAAATCCATATCCCATCAACCTGATCAATATATATATGAAATATATATATGAAATATAAGAACCTACAGAGGGAGAATCTTAAATGTGTAAGTTTATATCAACACAAATTTCTATCAACACAAAACATTTCTATCAACACAAATGCAATGATGGTGAACAACCCATCCATCATCTAATCCTACTGATGAAGTGTTTGCATGTTCCACAGCTTCAATGTACTGCGCTGGAAGCTATTTTGGAATGAATTCACTTCTAACATGTGTGATCATTTCTCTGTTGTGAAGAAAGTGCTGGTTATGAGAATCACTTCTCATTCACATTTCCTGGAATAGAGGTGATAGATTGAAGACCAGAGGGATGTGTTAACTCACTGTTTTACAAACGATATAATATCTAAGGTCCGAGGTTTGGTATCTCATGCAGAACAAGATTAGCCAGCACTGTCCCTCTGATGTAAAGATGTCTGCAGATTTTTTCCTGATATCTTTATTATATATTATATATATTATATATTATTATAACTCAGCTGTTTCATGTGGAAGAACATTATTTAGATTTTTTTCCACAGCTTGCAGATGAAAGCAGAGGCTTTTTAAAGATTTTTGTAACCTCTGCTTAAAAGGACCTCTTAATCTTTGTCATGCACTTTTTTCTAACATTTGGTAATTTGCTGAAAATGTGGGAGGCAGAGAGATTAAACATAAAACTGTAATTGGCGTTTTCTGTGTAGCTGTTTCAAACTCCTGTGGCCATGGGAAATCATTACTTGGTTGCGACAGGTATTTCGGGTTTTCAGCACTTCCTGTGCAGCGCAGCATTCCCTTATATGGACTGTAACGATAACCTCACAGTCATCTCATGTATCTTCATTTTCAAAAGTTTCAGTGCTGAAAATCTTTTTTAGGTACCAATAAAAAGTTCTGCTGGGATAAAATCAGGAATGTTGTAGAGAGCTTCTGATACTGCAAATTTCAGGAAATGTCAAAACTAATAAATGACTGGGTTTCTCTCTTTGTAAAGTGAACTTAGATGACCTATCTTCTGAATTATTACTGCGTAAGCAAAATGAGGTGGTTTGAAATAATCTGTTTTTTTTCTCAAACTCTAGAGCGGACCTGGAAAAAATCATATATGATTTTAAAGATTTCAAATGCAAAACATCATTCTTTTTTTTTTTTTTACCAGAAAAGCACTCACCCCATATCCCAGCTTTTGTCGAGTCCAATATTTCATTAGCTTTTTAACAGTCAGCTTCAGTCCTCCTCTTCACATTGGCTGCCTGTAAAATGAAAGCTCATTCGTGTCTGGAAGCCTTCACTGCTTGCCTGATCTCTCGTTCTCACGACATTTACACCTACCACTTGTACTTCTGCCTCTGAATTCTCATTTCCTACACAGTTTTTTTCTTTCTTCCTGTTCTCGACTTCTTCTCCTCTCCTTGTACATGATTGTTTTCACACCTCTTGTATCACATTACCTAGAACTGTGATTTGTCTGCTTTTTCCTTTTGGTCATATAAGTTTGGGTAGTTATTTGGTACACTTGACAACTTGTGTACTCCTTGATAAGTGCGTTTGTGTGTGTATGTGTATGCGTGTGCGTATGTACAAGAAAGATGAAGAACCTAAAATGACATGTGTGGTAGCAGAGTGGAACTTCCCTTTTGCATGTGCACTGCATGCATGACAGAATGGCTCAAAGCCCAGCCGTTCATGCTGTCCGTGAGCGTGGATGCTGTCTCCTCTGCACTGAAGACACTGGAACATGCACTGCAGAACAGAAGTCTGGAGTTTGCGTAGTGCATGCAGTAACTGCCATGATGCAGTCTGTGCAGTAGTGGTGAGGAAGGACTAACAGGATATGGAAGCCACATCAAAATGCACTCAGTCATCCTAAATAGAGGAAACTGTTAAACTATCATAGTTCAGTAGTTGGCTTGAACATTTTTTAAGGAAAATACACCACACCAATGGGGTTTTTGAGTCTTTGGCTGCACACAGACATTTCACAAAAAAAATCTTTCTTTTCTTGTTCAAAAAATCTGTTGAAGAGTGCTGTTGAGAGTTTTTAATGAACTTTTGTGTTGGGTCAGCACAGGCCCAGTTTCAAGTTCACCACTAAAGGAACACAAGGGGTTAAGTTTAGAGGAAGGTTTGATGTGTATTTATTCATGGTGCATGTATATTTAGCACATGAAGACTAGCGGCTGTCTGTGTGGCTCTTTCTGTGTGCATGTGAAACTCTAGCAGTACATGTTCCTCACTTCCTCTTTCCAGTTCTTTGTTCTCTTAACGTTTCAGGCTTACAGTCTTTACCAGTGTCTTTACCTGATAGGAAATGCTTTCCTTTCTCGTGTCATGTGACAGAAGGGGTGAAGAAAGGAAAGTAGAGGTTAGTAGGTGTTTCCGATCCAGTGGCTCAGTGATCTGCCCGTGCTGCAGAAGCATGGCTTTGGGTCGGACAGGAAAGAGGGTAGACTTCTGTAACAGCTGCTCACTGGGCTCTAAAGCAGCTGTGATCCAGCTGCAGAGCATCCAGAATGCTGCTGCTCCAGTTCTGACCAGAACCAGGAATTACCCCCATATCAGTCCAGTTCTCAGGTCCCTGCTCTGGCTTCCTGTCACTCAGAGAAGAGACTTTAAAACAGCTCTTCATGGTTTACAGTCCATCTCTGGACCATCTGGACTCTGAGAACCTCAGGTTCTGGTCTCCTGCTGGGCCTGAGAGTCAGAAACCAGTTTCATGCTCCTAAAATCTAGATCGGTCTTCCTGAAGAAGTGAGACAGGCTTCAAATCTGAATGTTTAAATCCAGAATGTATTCATGATTTTAAATGTTTTTATTTACCTTTTGTAATTTTATGTTGAAGCAAGACGCTTTTTCCATGTGTACAAATTGTACTTTACAAATAAACTTGCCTTGCCCCTTGTTCATTTAAAAATGTGAACCCTGTGAGCATGTCAGCAGGGAGATATTCCACATTACTGATGAGACAGGCTAGAGACCAGAGCCTCCATCCTCTCAGTTCATTCAGCGCACAACACTGCCCCATTGTACATATTCAACCCACTTATCATCATACTTTTTTATTATTACTCTAATTGGTTTGTTTTATTGTTCTGTGACGCTGGAATTGATTTCTGATGCTGAATATGGTATTTGCTATAGCCATGTCATATGAGAAAAGCTGTCACTGGGGAGAGAAGGGAAGCATTCTGGACAGACTCACTCACTCACTCACACCCATCAATGGTCAATTTGGAGTCAGTAAATGATTTTTTAATGATAGCTCTACAGCTCTAACTTTGGTCTCTCTACAAGGATTCCTCACGATATGGGCAGAGTTTTTGAGAATCCAGTGTTTCCCACCGGAATAAAACTATTTGCTGTATGTTTACTATTAGATGTCAACCACAGGGAAAAGGTTGAGTAGAGTATTTGAACACAACCCAATTGTCCATGTTGAGAACACTGATAACACACCAACAGATATTTCAAACACAGAATTGAAAAGGATTCATTAAAATCAATTGAAGAAAATGGATTTCAATTTAAAAGGATTTCCTTTGTTGGTTTCTTAAAAGAGGTGAGTTCTGACATCCGAAGCTTCCAAGCTCTGATCGAGAAACATGATTTCTTTCTGTAAGACAAACCAAGCTGTGTTCTTAGTTTGGAGATCAAATTTGACATGAACTTTACAGAAAGATCCCCCAAAACGAGTGAATCCCAGTTACCTGTAACTGGTGACCAGTTGGAGGGTTTTACCTTTGGCAGCTCTGGTCGAGGGGATGCTTTAGGGGGCAATAGTTGATTCAAAAGAAGCATTATTTGGGAATTTTCTGTAAGGGATGAGAAATATGTGGTTTAAACATGTTCATATTGTAATATAAAACATTTTTTAAGGAAAACTGGAAATATCCTTCAATAAACATATTTATGACCAAAACAAAAAGTCACATTTTTGTTTATGCCTAAAGCAAATAAAAAATACTGGAAAAAATTCATACATGACCATAATTCATACATGAAGGGGTTAATTACATAATGATTACAACTATAATGACTCTTTACCAAGAGAACCTTTATGTAGTGTTGTAGTCGTAACAAGCAAAAAAGCCTGGCTGGATAAGTATAATTGGTCCATTGGTTGAAGTATTATGTGTGACATGGTTTAGTGTGTTATTATAATGCTATTTCATGGGAATGGGCTGTTTTAGAAAGCTTCCATTCAAAATAGATTGAATCATTCTTCTTCATCTGATTTTGACCAGTGCCAGATTTATCAAATCAAATCAAACTTTATGTATATAACACTCTGTATACAAAAGCAGCTAAAAGTGCTTTAAATAATAAAACCATGATAAAATACCCTATAAAATTGGTCTCTCTCTGTATTTTTCTTAAATAATCACCACTGCACCATTTGCATTCTCTCTTTCAAAAACAGACTTATTTCTAAACTGAGCAACATTCTCTTTTTTTATATCCTTTAATAACATACTTTTTTTAGTATTTTACCTATCCTATTTTTTTAACAAAATATCCTTAGTAGTAAGCCAAATGTCATGTGAGGACAGCATTTGCCACTTACTTTTGTTTTCCCCTTCATGATAAAGCAAGACTATATCAGAGCTAAAACCGAAATTACTGTGGCTACCTATGAATGATCTAAATTTGCCAACATTTGTCTTTTTATTAATAGAAAATCTTCATAATTAAAACTTCAATTGAAATGATACCCTAAAAGTGCATCTTCAGAGAGCGTCGCTTTTGTCCAGAGGGCTGCAAGTGTTATGGGAACGTCATTATGTTCATCTTCATCCGTCTCGTAGTTCACGCGAGATTTCACGGGAGGATAAGTTGAGGGAACATGGCGACGTCTAATTTGCTAAAGGTACGACCCTCTTTAATTCAATTATTTGTATCTATCGCTAACTGAAGTGCATGTCATGTTTGTCTAATGATATTGGCCTTTACCTCCAACTTTAGCGAACAGCTCACAGCATGTGCACGCGGGTTTTCTGTCGGTTTTGACTTTGGCTGGGAGCACTTAAGTTATATCTGGCTAACATTAGCTACTTATCAGTGATTTAGCAGGCTACATTGAAAATCTACAGTAGATGTGCTGTAGAATTGCAGAGACGAGGGAAGAAAAAGAAAACATTGACAAAGAGCGAACAGGGCCAAACTATAAACTTCTCCTCCGATACAATATGACCATAGTCCTTTTCATGCTAGCCTCAAAGCTCATTTCATCTGTCATTCAATGTCTGCAGCTGACCAGCCCCTCAAAAGACACTCAAAACCGCAAGGAGCAGCGGTCACCAAAGTTTTGGGCATCTTTTAATTCACTGAAGCTCTCAATGAAGCTTAGTTTGTTAGGCAGCTGATACTAAATAATTTCGCCAAACAGAGCAAGAGAAATAGGCAAGGCATGAGCTAAAGACGAGGACTGCCTGACGAAACGTGCTAAAGACACCCTCTGCCCCCGAACGAGGAGCCAGATACCGGGACCCCAAACGATGTATCCGTCCTGTCAATGGAGTACTGAAACTAGATTTTCCTTTTCTGTCCTTATGTGATAAATGCATTTCTATTGATAAATATCTGCCTTGAGAGAACAGCATACAATATGTTTCTTTGAGAGTCTGAATCTCCCCAGCAAAGCCAGTTTGATGTCTCCCAGCCCAGTCCATCAGTCCTGCCTCTCCCAGAATACCATTTAGCCCATTATTGAGCAGATAAGGAGCTTTCTTTAACCTATTCAGAGGTGCTTTTGTTGGGCTACAACTAGCTTGTTGAATTTAAGGTAAATTTGTCTACTGGCACAAAAGTAAGAACCCATAAAACGGTGGTGCATATTTGAACCATTTTATTCGACCATGCAGCTTTGACAAATATGCAGGATGTGCGTTCTATAGATGGGGATTATTTGTCAATCCCTGGATACAGGACAACAGGGTTGAATTAACAAAAGAACAGGTTTGACCTTTTGGATTATTGTGTCCCTGTTCTGTTTTTTTTCTCTTTGTTTATTTTGAAAATCACCCTCTTCATAAAATGCAAAGTCCAGTGCTTTTTCTTGTTTATTCTTGTGTTTATGTCTGCACAGTTTGCTCATCTTTCCAGTTTGAGCGCTCTTGGTCCTCTAATATTGTTAGGAGATCCCTATAGTAGGGAATGCTTTGCCAACAACAAAGGCGATGTGTGATCAGCACAGAGGAAATGCCAACAGCATTTGTAATAAACAATTCAAAGTCTTACATTTTGCAACTATTGTAGCATTAGCTTCAATTTGACCCATCTTTTGTTTTTGTAGTTTTGCTATGACAAACTGTGATTGGCAAAATCTGCTATATATTATTGAGTTACTGAATTAGAATGATTCTGAATTGTAATAACAATGACTTTCGTCTTGATATGGTCACGTCTGACAGTTCATGTCACACCAGCTGCTGTGCACCTTAAAACTCAGACAGCTGTCCTTATTTGCTGTTGAACATGTCTCGGGTGTCCACAGGTTTTTATCTGCTGACTTTAAAGCACCCCAGCATGCGATTCACATCATTTCTGTTTTGTATTCATGAAGCATTTATAATCGGTGTATTCTTTGTAATTCTTGCCTTCTCCTAACGGGATCAGTGAGTAGAGTTCCACTTCATTGGTGTGAGCTCCATTTTTCTCTGAAAAACCAATCAACAAAGTTTGGGAGAAATACTGGTAATGTGTCAGAAATGAGATAAAGAACTGTGGTCTGACTTGTTAGGCTTTTTTCATTTGTTTGAGCGCTTTGATTCATATGCCTCTTCCCAGAACAAGGGCTCCCTACAGTTTGAGGATAAATGGGACCTAATGCGCCCCATCGTACTGAAGCTCCTGAGGCAGGAGTCTGTCACCAAACAGCAGTGGTTTGACCTCTTCTCGTGAGTACCAGCTACTTTTGGATGACGTTTTGATGCTCTGCTGTTGAAGGCAGATGATGAATTTGTGCTTCCTCTTGGTTTCCATAGAGATGTCCACGCTGTTTGCCTCTGGGATGACAAAGGTCCAGCTAAGATCCACCAGGCTCTCAAAGAGGACATCTTAGATTTCATCAAACAAGCACAGGCAGTAAATGGTTTCAGTTGTTTTAGTTCACACCGTCATTTGTTAGTCCGCTTTAAGTCGATTTTGGCCTAGTAGTACTGACACAGTTCTGCCTTATCACCAAATATGCTGTTTTAACATTTTGATTGTTCTAAATAACCCCTGTTGCTTTGTGTCCTGCATGTCAAAGCTTGTGTCAAACATATGCATGCTGATATAATCAGAGAAGGCAGAAGTGAAATGTTTTTTTTCCTTCAGTTACTTTTGCTCAGGAGCTGAGAAAAACAAAAGGTGGTGCAGCATTGTGTGTCAACCCATTGTAAAGGAAAGTTTGGACTCTGCTATAAGTTATTGTTCAGTTAAATAAACCTGAATGGCTGAGCAGAAGCTAGACTACCCCATGTGACTGCTGCAGTTCATACCTGCTTCAGACTGAAAACCATACGTCTGTGTTACTAGACCCAACACAGTCACAATGCAAATCCCATTGCAAAATGTTGGAGCGAAACCCCAAAGGGTTCTTTTACACATTCAGTTGGAACCATTTAGCCCAAAACAGTGCATGTGTGAATGGGGCTTCTGTGTGTGCATGTTGCAAACCAACCCTGTCCTGTGTTTGTTGCTTTCTAAGCGAGTGCTGAGTCACCAGGATGACACAGCCCTGCTGAAGGCCTACATTGTGGAGTGGAGGAAGTTCTTCACACAGTGCGACATCCTGCCCAAGCCTTTCTGTCAGCTGGAGATCACCCTGATGGGCAAGCAAGGAAGCAACAAGAAGTCCAACGTGGAGGACAGCATAGTCCGTAAGGTGAGGAGGAACGCTGTGGCCTTAAATGAGCGGCCCTGCCGAGGCGAGCTGATTAATACACATCTTCTCTGCTCTGTGTGGTGACTGCAGCTCATGCTGGACACCTGGAACGAGTCCATCTTCTCCAACATCAAAAACAGATTACAAGACAGTGCCATGAAGCTGGTTCACGCTGAGAGGCTGGGAGAGGCCTTTGATTCTCAGCTGGTCATCGGAGTGCGAGAGTCCTACGGTGAGTGGCAGGTCACCACACCGGCTTAATGTGGGGGAAAGGCCATTTGTTTGGATCAGGAGCAAATGGTCGATCAAGAAGGCTTCTAGCACGTTTTCATTGTCTTTGAGGGCCTGTGTAGTTTTTTTCCTATCGTTTTTCTCTAAGCTTGTATACCTAAGGGCACCTTATCTGGAAGAAATGTCAGCACTGCTTTTGCTTTAGCACTGCAGCGGTTAAAAGCATAGTTGCTGTGAGACTGTTTGGAATAATCTGAAGGACTGATCTGCACTTGTCACTGCAGAAATGTATCCAGAGAAGTGTGAAATACAGTCAGCAGCTGTTATGCAGACAGGCAGACTGGTAGTGACAGGTCAGAGGAGAACACGTGACTGATCTACCAGAGCAGAACTCTGCCAGCCACGAGCAGAGATCATGAGCAGAGATCATGAGCAGATATCTCAGATATCAACAGATATGTGGGACTTCAGAGGCTCACCAACCTGGAAAGGTGAAGCCTGCAGAAATGTTGTCTGCTGGTTCTTCATTGCTGCTGATTCAGCTTTGAGGGCAGACTGGGCCTAAATGATGGTTGTATCTGGATTTCTCTTCCTCTGAATGGAACAGTGATCTGGTAGAAAGGTGCTAAGGGATTTGACACCAACATGAAGCGGTGTCTGAAATGTTTGCCCCCAGTCTGATTTGCGGTGTTTCAGCATCTCACTGTGTGTTGTCACTGTTTTTGTGAGCAGTGAACCTGTGTTCCAATCCTGATGACAAGCTGCAGATCTACAGGGACAACTTTGAGAAAGCTTATATGGACTCCACTGAGAGGTTCTACAGAACACAGGCCCCATCCTACCTTCAGCAGAACGGGGTCCAAAACTACATGAAATATGTGAGTATCAGTCGTCAACGCCCTGTGTGAAATATTTCTGTTGCTTGATACAACACAAGGTTGGCCCTTGGAGCAGTTCCTGCAGAGCCCTTTTTCCTGGAGCGCTTGAACACATTACAACTGTAAATCTGATTATTGCTCTGCTAAGTTTAGAGAATGCTGTCCTCTGTGAGGGAATTCTGGACTTATTATTTATTGGGATGACTCATTTTAGACTAATTTTAGTGATTGAAACCACCCAGACGTTTGAATCCTTGTCATTTTGTTTTTCAAGTTCTTTTATATTCACTCTGCTGTAAGTCGTTTTATTGTAGTGACCAGCATCAAATGTAGCAGTGGTTAGATTGCGTCCCTGGAGTTGCTATGGTAAGCCATAAGTCCTGTTCTGCTGAGCACTTTTGAGGTAGTATTGGATGGAATTAAGACAACAGAAATGATGCGTACTTCAGCTCTATTGTGAAATGAAATAGTTAAATAATAGTTAGATAAGTAGACTGTCAGAAATTCTCCCTTTCTGAAATCCGCTCCATGAATTGGTCAGGGTCTCTTTGTGTGGTAGCTACAGCCGGCCTGGTGCTGTCTCAGGTTGTACAGCTGGACTCTGCCGGCTTCATGAGTGGAAACTGAGTTTGAAACCGTTTGAAACCTCCTTGCTGTCACTGGTTGCCTGTAAATGGGAAAAGTTAGAAGAAGAGCAATAAAAGTCCAGAATATGTTGGTCCAGCCATGGCTCAGGCAAACACACATGATGCTGCGTTACAGATAATCCTGCTGTGTCCTCATCTGCACTCTGTGCTAGTCCATTCCTTCTGCCAGACATCTCACAAGAAGATCAAGAAGTAAATGTGTAAGACGCTTTTCTGTGTTGAGCTGCTCTCTCTCGTTGCACATATTCTGGACATACTGTGTGTTTCCCCAAACTGAGTCAGCGAGTCTCACATCTTTTCTGTGTACATGGTACTTATCAAAAGATACAATTGGAAATGACATAAGCATAAGATGTTTATGTGTTAAATGCATTTTTCCAGAGAAAAGACAGCAGAAAGTAGTTAGACGATTCAAAGAAAGACAGTGCGATAAGTCTGTGGAACAAGCTGTCACTGCTGTTACCCTGTTTTAAAAGCTGGATGGGCTTCATTTTCAGATTAGTTTCAGAATTGTCCGATCTGGAACTGTGCTCTGCTTCTCCCTTGAAGCACAGAGCAATGTTTACTTTGTACTTTCCATGTTTTTAAGGCATGGGGCCTATGTTTGCCAGTCCACTTTTTACATATGGGTAAAAGAACAGAAGAACAAAGGTTTTGTTGACCAAGTTTCCCTGCTTTCCAAAAGGTGCTGCACTCCTGAAAAGTACTTGAAGGTTAAGTGACTGCTCACCAGAGACAAATGTCCATCAATCAAACAGTTCTTTTCATAACTTTAAATAAGTGTCTTTTCTCACCAGGCAGATTCAAAGCTGAGGGAAGAGGAGAAACGGGCTCTGCGGTATCTGGAGACAAGACGTGACTGCAACTCTGTACAGGCAGTGAGGAGAATATATACTTTATTCTTTAAGTAAAGTATAGTAAAGTTTGGTTCTTAAAGTTGTATTGATTCCTTCAAAAGAGAAAAAAAAGTTGATTATTCTTTCTGTTGTAGTCTGGTCAGCTATTCTAACGCATTCTGTTTCTCTCTCCAGTTAATGGAGTGCTGTGTCAATGCACTTGTAACGTCGTTCAAAGAGACCATCTTAGCTGAGTGTCCAGGCATGATCAAGCGAAATGAGACAGACAGTGAGTACATCTGCACTGCTCCCACCCAAAGCACAGACGGCTCAGCTTTGCACCAAGAAGTAGTCCTGTCCACCAGGACTCTCCCAGAGCAGCTGCTGTTGAGATGCTCAAGCTGAAGTCACACTGAGCAGGTGACCAGCAGTGGGTGGCAGTGGCTTGTGGGAAGTAAATATTTAAGCCTCCGGCCATCTTAAAGAGTCCAAACCTAGAAATCAGAACAAATAAGAATGGTTTGGCCAGATAGAAACATGACCTCCCTTCAGCTGATTCAGCTTCATTTCGGTGTCTGCGTGAAAAAATTGGACGCAGGGTTTTAGAAGTAAGGCTGGGTCTGAGATGTGCTCCAGTGTGATGTTTAGTTGGCTAAGATATTATGTCCATACACCCCAGTGAACACACAATACTTACCATTTACATTTAGATAGTGACAGGTTTATTGGAACATCAACAGCCTGCAACTAAGATGTACGCCCTTCTCAACGGCCTCAAAATCATACCTGCAATGTTTTCTCAAAGCTGTCTTAGATGCATTTTATTCATTGCAAGGAGCATTTAGGCCTGATGGCTGAGCACTGCTGTCTTGCAGGGTTCAGAGTCACATGGGACACTGCTCACGCTGTGAGGCAGGGCTGGCTGCACTGATTTCCCATGAGGCATTTCAAATATTGCCAGTGTACATGATTTAAGTTGATTTGATTAAGTCTGTCTTAATTATTTGTTGGCCTTGCAGTCAAAGCTAAAGAAATGCACATCTTCTTGAAAAGCATGCCCCCCTGTAAGTCCCACAACTGCCTTCTCCTCATCCCAGAGTTGCATCTGATGTTCTCCCTGATGGACAAAGTACCCAGTGGCATCGAGCCCATGCTGAAGGACCTGGAGGATCACATCATGAGCGCAGGCCTGGCTGACATGGTGGCTTCAGCAGAGACCATAACCTCTGTAAGCACAAACCCGACAGATGCAGCTCAGGGCTCTACTACAGGGATGCTTGTGCTAATTGGAGGTTGAGTCCATCTTAACTGAGCGTCCAGCTGAATGGAACACACTCTGTCATCTCCTGTTTTTAGGACTCAGAGAAATACGTGGAGCAGCTCCTTACCCTTTTTAACCGCTTCAGCCGGCTTGTGAAAGAGGCCTTTCAGGACGACCCACGCTTCCTCACAGCAAGGGACAAAGTCAGTGTGACTTTCACTAACCTGTCCCTCATTAACAGCACAGCACAGGACTAACTGAACTGTTTCCTGAACCCCTCTGTAGGCATATAAAGCCGTTGTGAATGATGCAACTATATTTAAGTTAGAGCTTCCCATGAAACAGAAAGGGTAAGAAAAACACCTTCCACAGAGTTCGGCTTTAGCTCTGAACAATGCCAGTTGTCCCATTTATCTCTATTCACATGCCTTCACAGGGTAGGATTAAAAACTCAGCCAGAGTCCAAATGTCCAGAGCTGCTGGCCAACTACTGTGACATGCTCCTGAGAAAGACCCCGCTTAGTAAGAAGCTTACTTCTGAAGAGATTGAGGCCAAGCTCAAGGAAGTGGTAAGTTTGACTTTCATGTGTTTTGGTCATTAATCAGTTTTTGTCACTAGAATCGTTAATAGCGTTCAAAAGTCATTTCAAATATTCTTCAGCAATAGCTCCAAAGGACATTTCAAAGTCAAGTGATCTTTTGCATGTCCTTAGCACTGGCATATGAACTATTCAACCTTAAAAAGGAACCCAGGTCAGGAGATGAACCAGGGTTTTGTCTGCATGTCGCAGGTAACTTAGACGAGCACGCTGATATCAAAGACACCAGAATTGTTTACTGTGTGCATTCTTCAGCTCTGGCTATCCTGTGGTCTTGTAGATTATCTCATGAACTTATTTAAAAAGGTGGCCTTTTAGCTTCGCTCAGCTTTTGTGTCAAAGGATGGTGTCAGCTGGTGGAGGCTCCACACTATGGAAGCATGGGAGTGTGAGTTTAGTGAGGCATCAGTCCAGCTCTGGTTTAAGTTAAAGTCAGCTCTAACATTCACATTACAGTCAAACATAATCAGTTTGAACTCTCAGAAGCCAAGGCTTCTTTCAACACAGCATATTGTAATGTAGTCTTAGTTTTTAAGGTTTTGTTGGCTCTAGTGGCCTTTATTGACAGTAGTATGAGAGCAAAGGGGGCAGAAAGGGAGGTGGAGATGGACAGGAAAGGGCAGTTGGCTGGCTGGGTCGGACCGGCCGCCTGAACAGAAGAGCCTCATTACACAGGCCGCCTGCTCAACCCAGTCAGCTAAACGGCAGCCCGTGTTGCTACATTTTAAAAAGTTTTCAACAGAAACCTGCCAGCTAAGCACTTCATCATCGCGCTCAGAACTACGACTGATCAGAGGACTTTATGGTCCGGAATTGAATGAATTCACACATCGTTTCTTCACTGAAGGATTTTGTGGCCCATTCTGATTTGCTGAATCAAAATCTTCAAAAATATGAACTGAAAAGGAAATTCCAGCCTTCAAATTGTTTAAAGTAACTCCAGTCTAATGCATGTCTTATGTCTACCTATGCAGGTGTCTGAAAGTGCTTTTCTCAGACTCGAAATGACTGAACTGATCCCAGAATAATTGCAAATCTGCATGAGAAAATAGCAGGAAACTGTGTAAATAACCAGCTGTGTGACTTTTGCAGCTGCTAGTACTGAAGTACGTCCAAAACAAAGACGTGTTCATGCGCTACCACAAAGCCCACCTGACACGTCGTCTGATCCTGGACATCTCAGCTGACAGCGAGATAGAGGAGAACATGGTGGAGTGGCTCAGGGTAAGTCACCCATCACAATGAAGCCCGACAAAGTCAGTCATCAGTAAGACATGAGCCACACACAGCATGAACCTGTGATGTCATTTCCTCTAACAGGAAGTAGGCATGCCAGCTGACTATGTCAACAAGCTGGCCCGGATGTTCCAAGACATCAAGGTGTCTGAGGACCTCAACCAGTCATTTAAAGAAATGCATAAACATAACAAGCTGGCTTTACCAGGTAAAATATTCATCACACGTGAGAAAGGTGCTTCCACACATGAAATAAACCTGGAGAAATGACACACATGACAAGAATGACAGGTAGTGGCTTGGTGTTGATGGATGAGATGGTAATGGATGGGTTGTGGAGCAGCAGCTGGCCATGTCATGTTTCCATTTGTGCCGTGCTCCTCTGCAGCTGACTCTGTCAACATAAAGATCCTGAATGCTGGAGCGTGGTCCAGAAGCAGCGAGAAGGTGTTTGTCTCACTGCCCACAGAGCTGGAGGACCTGATACCTGAGGTGGAAGACTTCTATAAGAAGAACCACAGTGGGAGGAAGCTTCACTGGCATCACCTCATGTCCAACGGCATTGTGAGTGGGGAAAGGAGAGAGCTCGCCAGTCATTTCAAATCCTTTTACTTACCCTGTTGTATCTGAAGATGCATTCACCATCAAATTCTATAGCTGTATTGTTTTTTCCTGCTTTTTGTGAATGGAAAAGTGCAGCGTGATCCTTCAGATGTTTGTCGTGTTTGTCCCCCTGACCGTGGCTGAAACGGCTCCTAACAACATTCATGTCTCCAGATAACCTTTAAAAATGAGGTGGGCCAGTACGACCTGGAGGTGACCACTTTTCAGCTGGCTGTGCTGTTTGCCTGGAATCAGAGGCCGAGGGAGCGAATCAGCTTTGAGAACCTCAAATTAGCCACAGAGCTGCCTGATGCAGAGCTCCGTCGCACTCTCTGGGTAAAGACACACAACGATGCTGTAGCTGCTCAGAAATGAGCTCCTCAGTTTGAAGTGACCTCCAGCGTCTCCTCTGAGCCTCAGATGCTGCAGACTGCTCTTTGGGCTCAGTTATTTAAGCCTATTCACCTGCTATTTAAACAGTTACTCATCTTCCCTTTTATTGGGAAACTCACTGACAATGTTGCAAACAGTGTTTTAGACAGATTTCAGTCTTGACCTCAGAAAAAAGTACTGATCAGAGTCTTAAACTGTGGTCTGAACACTGAAACGGGTCAAACATCTGTTCTCGTGCTGCTGGATCTTGGTTCAGCTTTTGATTCTGTGGACCACAACATTCTTCTGGATAGACTGGAAAACTGGGGGGGGGGGTTCTCAGGTCAAGCTGTCAGTTGGCTCACATCATATATTGAAGGCAGGGGCTTTGTTGTCTCCATTGGTGAGGATAAATCTAGGGCCAGTTCTTGGGCTGTTATTAATAAGCCTTTACATGCCTCCCCTGGGTCAGATCATATGTAACTGTAATGTTTCTCATGGGGCAGCTATGAGGAGGACACGCAGATTTACTTGGCTCTTTCACCAAATTAGAGTCCCTGCGTCTGTGCTTGGAGCAAGTGAACAGCTGGAAGAAATCCGGCTTCCTTCTATTAAACCGAAAGACAGGAACAATTCTATTTAAACAAAATGGTCTGAATGAGAGTTGTCTCCCAGCTTGAATTTAGTGAGATCAAGACAGAATCCCAGGGTCAGAATTAGATTTTTAATCGACTTAAAGCTGAACTTAAGCAACCACATAAAAGGTGTAGCTAACAACTTTCTACCAACTAAACCAAATCTCCAGTCAGAGACCTCATGCCCAGAGCACATTCAGAGAAGCTCATCTGGGCCTTCATCTCCAGCAGACCTGACCACTGAGATGCTCTTCTATGTGGCCCTCCAGCTTCAGCTCAGTCCAAACAAGAACCAGACGAACTGAGCACATCACTCCTCCTCTGAGCTCCCTCCACTGCCTACCACTTAGCTACCGCCGTGTTCCTGTGCCCTTCTTTAGTCAAAGTTTGCTGCACACTTTAGACGTTCCTGTCCACTTCTAGTTGTCAGTTTGTAAATGAAGGTTCTTCATCTTTGGACTAGGTTTCATTGTGTATGGAGGGTGCCTTGCCCTGGTTCTGATGAGCTTTCTGTGCTGCTTCTCCTAATTGTCTCCTCCCAGTCTCTGGTGGCGTTCCCCAAACTGAAGCGGCAGGTGTTGCTGTACGACCCGGTGGTGTCCTCACCCAAAGACTTTGCAGAAGGCACTCTCTTCTACGTCAACCAGGAGTTTTCTCTCATGTAAGGACACTCACTGCTGTTCATGGAGATGTGGGACTTGGTTTTGCCACCTTCCATGCAGACTTTTGATCTTCCCGTCCCTCTGTGCATTGATGGATTTGGTGGGATTTTTCTTCCCCCTGAAACCTTTGAAATAAAGCTACAACTACATGTGCACAAAAAGCCTGAACACCTTAAAAAAAAGTTTAAAGTGAGATAAAATACATGGATGAACATTTTCAATGTCGGGCAGACTGAAAACTAAGTGTTTGCTTCACAGAAAAAACTCAAAGGTCCAGAAAAGGGGAAAGATTAACCTGATTGGTCGACTGCAGCTCACCACGGAGCGCATGAGAGAGGAGGAGAACGAGGGCATCGTCCAGCTCCGGATACTCCGAACACAGGTATGATGCAGATCTCTCCCGCATTTCCCAGCAAACATCTGGGGCAGTTAGTGCAAACCCAGAGCGCCTTCCACAGGCCTCATGTCGTCTGTGTGCTGCCCCCCCGTGCAGGAGGCCATCATCCAGATCATGAAGATGAGGAAGCGCATCAACAATGCCCAGCTGCAGACTGAACTGGTGGAAATCCTAAAGAACATGTTTTTACCACAGAAGAAGATGATCAAAGAGCAGATTGAATGGCTGATAGATCACAAGTACATAAAGCGGGATGAGACGGACATAAACACCTTCATCTACATGGCATAGCGCCGCACATCAGGGGGACTGCTGTGGACTTCCAGTGGATCAGGCGTGATGGACGCCAGAAGTCTGCCAGGCTTCCCGTCCTCTATTTAAAGACAGAACCCCATCTTGTGCAGGGAGGAAGGAGGTAAAGACTGAGACCTTGGGGAGGGGGGAGGGTTAAACTTCCTGCCTTAAACTTGTATAAAGGAAACAGTTGCAGTAGGAGTGTGCAGCCAGTGGCCACAGCTTTTTAAGCTGGGGCCTTTCCTCCGCTGTGCATCAGAGGCAGTGCTTTCATTCAGTGTCCACAGAGTCTGCTGTGGGCAGCTTCTTCTACATTCCTGCTCAACGCTTGCACAAATCTAAAGGCATGCTGACAGGAAAAACCCAGGAACTCAGAAATATGCACAGTCCAGTTTTATTCCTGTCAAGTCCAGAGCTCTTGAAGAGAAGGCTGCCCTCCCTCCTCAGAGGAGTGCTGCTATTGGCCGGCCCTGGTGCCCACAGAGGGCCGCTGCTGCTGGGACAGCCCAAACGAACATCTCAACACGCACTGTCAAATAAGTTCCAACCAGCAGTCTGCAGGGCCCAACAACACCCAGCGTAGAGCCAGCTGCAGAAGCCTCTGCCTCTGGGAGTCCCTCCAGCGGGGGCGCCCAGAGCCAGAGGGGGTGCTGGAGGTGGGGGGGGACAGCCCTCATCTGCAGGAGTCCAGGAGGAAGAGGCTGAGGTCAGTATTATGAAATACAGTTCAAACCAGAGTGTAATGTGAGATGTGAATAATGGAATGAATAAATAAACGGCACCTTATTCTGAACACAGCCTCGTCCTTCATCCTAGCTCAGTTTGTTTGTGAGGGTCCGTCTGCACATCAGAAAAGATCAACTCTAAGCTGCTTTCCAGGCATTCCTCCACACTCCCTCTGATCCACGTCCCAGCTGAAAATGAGAATGGTTTTTACAGCCAAAGCCAGAGCTCATGTGGTCTACATGACAAAGAGGAGGTCTCACTGGTCAGAGGAGGTCTCACTGGTCAGAGGAGGTCTCATTGATCAGAGGAGGGCTCACTGGTCAGAGGAGGTCTCATTGATCAGAGGAGGGCTCACTGGTCAGAGGAGGTCTCACTGATCAGAGGAGATCTCACTGGTCAGAGGAGGCCTCACTGGTCAGAGGAGGCCTCACTGGTCAGGGCGCCATCAAGGTGAAAGCCGGCATCACTTGTTCCAGTTTTTGAAAGACGTTTAGCAGAAGACGCAGGCGGGTAGACGCCGGCCGGACGGTCAGACGGTCAGACGGTCAGTTCAGGAGTGTCGGCTGATGTTCAGACGCTGTGGGCAGGACGGGTCATCGCCTTACCTTGTAAATGACACTTCCCACCTACAAGTTCTATTCTCTGTTAACATTAGTGTGGATTTCTTATTTTAAAAACTGCATGAGCTCCTATAGCAACCATTTAACAACTACTGCTAACCCTCGTATCTCATAGTGTCCAGCACCTACCTGTCGCCCATAGACCCGGCTACTGGGCTAAAGTGTTTGCTACCTCCATGGAAAGCCCCTGTTCTGGCTGTATGTTAGGCTTTCAGCTGCTCTGCTCCTGTCACACCTCCAGAATCCCGACCTACAGGCCGAAGCATGGCCCTTCCCACAGGCTGTCTGCACTTCTGCTCTTTGCTGAACGGCTTTCCATGTAAAGTCATTTATTCAACACTTTTCTGGAGACCCTTAAACTTTAAAGAGGATGCAGCTTGTACTTCACTTGAAGACGGGCTTTAGTTGACTGGATGGGTTAGGGTTAGTATGAGGGAATACAGTGAGGAATGCAGCTCTGCTGTGGGCTAAGAGATTCATCCTGTGCAGAGGCGGCATGTCTGTCCACTTTTCAGTCAGGAAGCCAATAAGGAACTTTACTCAGGGGGAAGACAAAATCACACATCACCAACATCCCTTAAACAAATCTAAAAACTCTGACCTTTGTGTTGACACTTCTGTGATCACTTAATCACATAAAACCTCAATCTTGGGAGAGAAAAAAGTTATCTGGATCTTAAAAATAAGTAGATTTGTTTTTCTGGAGGCTATGAATGCCCGTGTAAAGTTTATTTTCTCTTGTTGGTGTGATTAAAACCACTATGTAAGTACTTCATAAATACTTAGACATCAGTCACTTTCCTGTGGCCGGCTTCTCCCTGCAGGGCTCTCTGGAGGTTTGAATTAGAGTAAAAGAAGAAGAAGGGATGCACCAGACTTTGCTTTATGCAGGGACCAGTAGAGAAGCAGGAACAGTAGATGGTGCCGGACTAACAAACCAAACTACAACCGGTGTTTCTCTCCTGATACTGATACTTCGTTAGTTTAGGATGTTCACAGCTGTGGAATGTAAAAACTAAATATAGGTATATTTAAAAAAGCATCTCATTCCAGCGACTTGTACTTTCCTTTATTGTCTTATTTTAGTGTCAGTCTGCCAACTTTTCTATCCACTTAGTACGGTGTTATTTTAGTGTAAAGGTTTGATCTCCTTCAGAATTTTCAACAATTGGTCCTCTTTTGAACTCTTGTATGTCACCCATAATGTTGTGTGCATTGCAATATTTTGAGCAAAACTCTTACCCTGCTAATTGGACCTTCACAGTCTGCTCTTATTGGTTGAATGTGCAATTAAGGAAGATTGACCACCAGGCTGGTCCAATTTGGCCATGAAACCTCCCACAGTAAAACAAGAGGTGTTTCAGTTTCATTGTCCAACCCCTGTAGATGTTAGTTATCTGGTTTGATTGGCTGGCGTCCCTGTTGCAGAATGATCATGCTGAAAATGTTTGTAGATGAAAACACACAATATAGGGATTCCCCATTTGATCTCTCAGAGATCATACATCAAACTATTGACTGAAAACATTTCTGGTGGGTTAAACATGCTCTAGGAATCCGTTTCTCAACAGAACATGGATGCAGACATTGCTGTAACGCGTATCTCACGGAAGGCTGTAATTAGTTTCCTTTTAATAACAGCAGATTGCATCCTGTTATTTGTGACATGGGGATTACAGCAGGCCGCGAGTTTAGCGCATGCGCTGCGGGCAACCCTCAATCACCCCCGCGCGCAACCTCCGCTCGTGGTTGGGATGAGGACGACTGTCGTGCACAGGAAGAGGACAGACGTAACTTCAAAGTAAGTGTGCAGATGTAGGACGTGGGGTCTTTTTTTTGTGTGTGTGTGTGTGGGTGTGTGTGTGTGTGTGTGTGTGTGGGGGGGGGGTCCCTGGGTTCTGCGTCTGGCTGGCCTTTGAGTGGCCGGGCCTGGTTGTGTTTAACGTGTGAAGATAAATATGAGCACGCTGAGGTCATTTGGAATTCCTGTTGTTGTTTTTTCAACAGTGACAACTTTAAAATAAGGAAATGATTCGTTCACTGCTTCCATGGTTTGGTGTACAGAAATATCCAACTGTTAGCAGCAAAAGCTAAAGCTAATGCTCCCTTTATCTGTCAGCTCAGATCTTGATCTGAGTTTACTTACTGACAGAGGGACGTGAAACATGGATTTCTTTTCTTTTATTTTGAAATGCGCAGCATCACATCCGGTCCCCGGTGCGCGTCTTGACTCTGGGAGGAGAGGCTCCGTTAGTGGACCGGCCAGCGCGCGGAGAGGAATCCCAGCAGCCCCCCGAGAGCGCGAGCCCGACCTGCAGGACCCCCCCCCCCCCCCCCCCCCCCGGGGGGGGCCCCCCCGAGGGACCCCCCGCGGGGGCCCCCCCCCCCCCCCCCCCCCCCGGAGGAGGAAGACCCGAGAGAGCCACGCTGCGGGACAGGCCTCCGTCCAGGTAACCGCCCGCGCGCGCGCGCTCCCGGCGGGCAGGTGCCGCGCGGGCACCGGGGATGGAGAGAGCTCCGGTGCTCCTTAAACCCCCGCAGCCTACTGGGCTCTGCGGGGCGTGTGGTCCATATGGGGGGGGGAGGGGGAGGGGGAGGGGAGGGG